CAACCATTCGACTCATGGAACAATTGAATCTCCAATTAGATGATAAATACATCATGCAATGCGACAATAAGCAAACTCTTCGACTATTGATTGCTGAAAGACCCCAAGCGACTAGCAAATTACGCCATATCAATATCAACAACTTATGGCTTCGCCAGGAATTACAGAAGGGATCAATTGACTTTCAATGGGTTCCAACCAACGAAATGGTGGCAGACGGTATGACTAAAGCAATGCCAGCCCAAAAACACAACCACTTTATCGCCCAATTGGGTATGGCGAATATTGAACATTTGATCGAGAAGAACGCAGTATGAATCTGGAATTTGGTAGTAAGTATACGGAGTTCTGAATAGTATCATTTCTGTATTTGAATGAGAATACAGAGAATCAACCTACAACAGGTTGCCTCTCTGAGGGGGTGTGTCACACGGACCACTGCATATATCGGGGCATGCATTCAACCCATGCACCCGGCTATTGTTTCCCATATAAAACTAACGGGGATGTCATTTTGTGCATGAAAACCTTCAAATCGGTAATTACCGAATAGACGGTTATATAATCAACCCAATAACCCCTAGACAGTCTCTAATGAATGGAAGCATCTTTTTTTACCCCATAAGTGGTGGGCAAATTGACTGCGTGACACAAAGCTACTCCGTGCTTATCGCCTAAAAAGCCTGCCTTCCCCTCTGTAGCACGGCACCCACCCTGAAGCTACACAGTAAGCGCGGGTAGCAACTGCCACCAATCGCGCGGTCTTTGGGTCTACAAGGTGACGGGTAAACTACGGACTGGATTACCACACCTGAGGCTGGATCCTTGTGCACATAACAAATTACTGAAGGTAGATATTATCTATCTGTAGAAAGCCAAAATAATTGGCTCTCCTACCCTCCTAGGGATATAGGCTGACTGACCGGGCAAGCGCTGAGAAAAGATAGTGCGTATAACATCCAAATCACCAATCTCGGCAGCTGTATGTTGGCAGTTTCGAAGACATATGTACAACTACAGGTCAAAAGTCTGTTTACAGCAAAACGCCATACAAAAGGGTTCCCCAAAAGTCCCCTTTACCATAGTAAAGCCTCGAAATGCAAAAATGATATTCAATTAAAGAGCTGATTCGCGTAATATTATATTCGCACTCTTGGGTATTCTGGCTTTGAAATGATGCTCTGATTGTGGGTGGAAGATGAGTAGATTTGGCTGTAGTCCGGTGGGCGTGAGCAGACTTTACACCTGGCATTGTACTGCTTGAAACAGGGAGATGCGATTCTATTCGACTAGTTATGTCATCTATATCCCCAGTTCGGTGCGTACACCAATGTACTGGTTCGTTTACTCGAGGACTGGGCACTGGGGGAAGATTGAACCAACAACACCATAAACAACCATCGACGTCTTGAAGGTGGGTTACCTGTAATGCGGCCGTCCCTTGTTGTCCTAAGAACAGATCATACTTGAGTTGACTAATGGGAGACTATACCCAATTTCGTCACATGTATTAGACCTACCTAAGAATGAGTAATCAGCAAGTACTAAACAACTGCTGACTGCGTGATCTACTTTCAATGGGCCATCAACCATCAATGTCCATAGGTAGATCACATTATGTTTGTTTAAAGAAAGAAAAATTCTAATATGTGGCAACGGCTGCAACGTAAGGAAAAATAAGTAAAGGCGGCGTTGAAGATATAAACGTCGGAACTACCAAAAGCTAAGTCAACGTACGGGATGGTATACGCTGATAATGAGACTCGGCAGTGAGCTGCAGTGTCTCATCCTCCACGCAGGAGAACAAGTTGTAGTACGACACAAAGAACTGATGTAAGAGAGTATATTCGGATACCATCGACTATAAAAGGAGAAGAAAAATGGTTGAAAATGCCACGGTTTCGATAAGAGGTTGTCAGCTTGGTGTCTAGTGGGAGCACTGAACCGGCAAAGGCAGCTTAATTGTCAGGGTACCCGTAGTAATCAAGTCGAGCAAGGGACTTTAACAGAAGGTTCGACTTCCTCGGACAATCTATGAAGGGGTTACCTTTGCCTTGCTTCATACCACGGTGGCTGCTGCCACCGTCTACGGGAAATAGTTCAACAATATATGAGAATTTATTACTAGGCTCGGTACACTGGATTTTATTGTCAACGGATAACCGTGGGAGATGAGAGTCGACCGAGGCAGGGAAGGCCCTTCATCTTCGTGACATGGCATCTGTACTCAAAGACGCCGGATCGGCTTCAGGTTTTCATCGTTGACCTTAGTGAGCCACACAGCACAGTGGCCGTGGCTCTGGCGTCATGAACGATGGCCACAACTTCAAATGATATCGCAATTAATACAGTTGGCACCTGGTGAGCTGGGATTGAGATTAATAGGTCCGAGGTGCATGCAGAGTGCGTATCATTCGTATGGTCCTGTTTCCACATAAGGATCGGGGCATAGTGGTAATCTAGGAGTGTATTACATGAGTTTTCGTATAAGTAAACTCACCAGACGGTATTTTGTCGTGCTAGGAAATTCGGAAAGCAGGTTCATGCGGCATTAATGGAGCAGGCTGATGTTGCTTGACAAAAGCACCACGCAAACACATCGAAACGGTAGACTTCAGTGGGGATCGTTCGTCATCAAATGAGACTGCAAAGGATCCGAACTAGTAACAGAAACTCTAGATCGATTGCTTTCTCTCGGTGCAAGTGATTTGATGGTTTAGTGGCATCCTGGATTCTCTTTTTTTTTTTATAGCCAGAGTACCTAGAAAGAGGGGAAGATGGCTGATTAAACACTAGCCGTCGAGAACCCAGACTTGGAAAACCAAAAGAGTGCAGAATTCGCCCGGGGTTCTTGAGTTGTATCTTATACGAAGACTTTGATTTACCACATTTGCCTGTGTGGTGCTGTGTAGCACCTGCAGCCAAACCAGGGGGTCTTTGGAATATTTAGATGAATCATCATAATTCACAACAACACGAAGGATTTATGGTCTACGGTGTGCTATTCTACCGGGCTTAACTCCGGGCGATGCAACCCAGCGCACACCACACCTTCTTCTCTCAGCACGGTTCGCCCAGAGCCCCGATCACTACCCTGCCACCCTCCCCGGTGACTTTCCGGCGAGTTTCCCAATGTCCAGCAACAGGCTGCTGGCCTAGATCCTCTTTGTGTCACACAGACCGGACTTGCGCGCACCGCCAAGTTTACACACAAGTGGCCAGGATCCGAATACAGGAACTCTCGTGCAACCGTGTTACGCTTCCCCGATTGAGCAACAGGCGCAGGCGCAGGCGAACTTTCACAAGCGAGCGGCAGCCAATATCAGTGTCACCTGTAACTACGTGTGCGTGCGTGCGTTGCGTGTGCTATGTGGGTGGTTGTGGGTGTGCTGGCTGTCCAATGTATCGATTCCCAGCTCCGTCCACATTCCTTCTCATGAATCCACGACTCAGAGTTGAGCCATCACATCACATCATCCACCTTACCATGCAGGCTACGGTCCGGATGCGAGAGAGCGAGCCAGCCAGCCTTCTCAACGCCCGGCTACTCTGCTCGTCTGTAACCTAAGCCCATCCACCCCAGGCTTGTCAACCCAAAGTGCCTGATTTGGGACCAGCCGCCATCGCCACAATTATGCAGACACGGAGTAGCTTGGCACGAGGACAACGATATTGTTGTTCTTCATCACGCACCTGCTCCTCGGCCGCGCTTGGTGCAGTGGTGACATCTATGTAAAAGCTTAAGAACAGTCATCTGAGACCATGAAGTTCCATCATCTCATGGCTGCTTTCTTGCTGTCCAGCGGCGGTATCAGTATGCGACGCGTCGAGTAAAATGTAACCAAATACAAGGTTCCCCCCATGGTCCTTCTTTCCACCCACCATGTATTTCTGCATACTGTCCTTTTCCCCATTCTTCCTCTCACTGTCTCTTTCTCAAATTTCGATCCCTGTCGAATACTCGCTTCTGGTCGAACAGCATTCGCCAATGCTGCCGCTATGCTGTTCGTCACCATATCCCCGCAGGAGACAATCATCTCATCTCCTACTTCGCTGGTACCTCCCCAATCCCCGTTTGCCTTTGCTCTCGATCTTCACCCATACAGACGGCTGCCAGGGTTGTGATTCAGAAACAGGGAATGATGAAGTAGAGTGTACAAAGTGAGCTCCGGTGGGGTTTAAGTGAACATGTAAACTTCCTCCATGGCTTCTGGTCCTGCATATTTTTGGACTGGCCCAAGCAAAAGTACTTTGGTTCAACGTCCATGTAATCCGAAGGACAATGCAGCAAATCTGTAGCATTTGTCACACCCATCACCAGGTCGCCCCTCTTCTTTCAGCTTTGTCAGCTACTGCACCGCAATTTTGCGCGGGGACAAGTGCCGTGGTGGGAGTTAACAGTCATAGTCTGGAACGGGATAAAGGGCCACCACGACGTCGCTTAACTCCGGAGCCCCTGGGTGAGACATCCTTGTTCCGGATAGACGGGGAACCAACGTTCTGGAAATTGAAGCCTCTCTTGTCCTTGTGAATTGTCAATACCTTCTTCCTGGCTGAATACAGGTTTTCCTTTCCGCCTTTGTTGGGCACATAACCCGCGAGAAACCATTGTTGTGCGACTAACATGCGCCAACGTTGATGTAAGGAATCGGTAATCGTGAAGAGTAATTTAAAGTTCGCTCGCTTAGTTATAATGCACATTGTCGTTGTAGCAATTTCATCTTTTATGGATGTAGAACTAACTTCTTCAACCTCGTTAGAATCCCGTCCTTGTATGAACCAGCCCGCTCGATTGAAACGCCACCGCCTATTTCCAGTATATCTCCGCGTGAGGTCGAGCGCTTCGACCGTTTCATGCAACTCAAATACTCCTGAACTCCAGGCCAAAGCCATCATATAGACAAGAAAATAATGAACGTCGTTTTCCATCGCAAAATGGCTAATGTTGTATCCCAGCAGGCGGTACTGCTTCCTGTTTCTATAGTTTCTGAAATCATGCCTTATTGCTGGATCAAACCAGGTGATCCGGGCATGGACAAAGGTGTTGTTGGATACTCGTAGCCAGCGTCGGAACAATTGGCAGAGTGGTCGAAAGAGTGTGAGAGCGGAGGAGTCTGCTCATCAACCCATCAGCAATGTGGATCGCGGGGAGGTAGATGCCGCATATAACTCACATGAGGGTTCGAGGGGTCGTAAGAGCTGGTGGCATTGATGTCGATACCATGGATATAGCCATAGTTCATATAAGGCGAAAGACCGTCGTCACTAGGGTATGATTCACGCTTGATAGCATCGTTGAAGTGGTTCATAGGTGGCAGAGTCACCGGCACTGTTGCTGCCAGGTAGCCAGGGTAGGCCTCGGCGGTTGTCATTGGGTATGGCTGGGTGGTGTAGGAAGGGGCCAAGAGCATCTCTTCGGGAGGAGGATAAGTTGAATAGGCGAAGAGCGGGGGAGTGTTGGATCTTTCACGGCCGTCGTCATAGGATTGCGCAAAGAGAAGCTCATCGTCTGTGTGCATTGGAGGGGTGAACTGGCCCTGATTCATGGTCTTGGTTGGCGCGGGGCTTTTTTGTGTCTTAGCTGAGGATTGCGACTGGCGCTTGGAGCTCTTTGATTGCGTCTGCTTTTCGCTTGTGCCAGTCGAGCCCTCCTGCCCTGCGCGTCTCTCGAGATCCTCCAGGCGTCTCTTAAGCTTCTTGCCTACAGGTCTATGTTAGTATCGAGGTCTCTCGGTGGCATAGCAGTTATGGGAATGGTGTTGCAGTGGTGAGTTTTCAGACTTACGGTAGTTGCGTTGTGCAATGCGGTTTTGGATCCTCCGGCGTTCAGCAAGGTCAGAAATCTTGGTCCAATCTTCGTCTGGGTTTGCCGAGCTGCTAAATGCACTGCTCGTGCCGTGGCCCGAGTAAGCTCTAGGAGCAGGAGCAGCAGCCGCATAGGCATACTGATGTTGAGACATGGTAAACATTGACATTGAGGGTGACTTGTGGCGGTGGATGATGCTGGTGTTTAAGCGGATCAAGTGGGGAAGTATCTAAATGCGAACAGTGAACAATGTATGTGAATCGTGAGGAAGAGGACGAAGTCGTAGATGGGAAAGGCACAGAGATGTCGTTGAAAAGACGAGTTGGTGGGATGAAACACGGGAGAAGAAGAGGAGGAAGGGAAGCTATTAAATAAAAATGGCTCGAGGCGGCTTCACTCGACTTTCAGCCCAAGAAGGACCAGCAAGCTAGAGAGCAATGACATGGCAGTGGCAGCAGGGCTAGGTGTGGATGTAGGTCAAGCGCGAAGGGCAACCCGCACCCGCATCCGCATCCGCACCCCAGTATTGCCCTACATAGTCCTGGTCCTTGCTTCTCGAAAGGCGTTGGCCTGTTCGTGTTGAGTGCGAGGGTGCCGTGCCTGGTGAAGTTGGATGGAGCGGAGTAGCCTTTGGGAAGAAGTAGGGGAGGGGGGTGCGAAGAAGGATACTAGTGTAGGGCGAAAGATGCGGCAGAGACAAGGGGTGCTCTGGTCCAAGGCAGGGTATATGTATGGCTTTGCCTGAGATAGGCATGGAAATAGATGAGAATGAGCATGGGAATGAGGAGACAGATGGAATCTGGGGCGTGATTGGTACAGACATTTGGGGGGGGTGGGGGGGGGGGGGTGCAGGAAGGGCCATAGGGCAGAGCAGTACGTATTCTGCTACGTGCATACTACAGGGCGACAGAGACGGGACAGTGATGGAAGACGGTTGTTGTGATGGTGGCCATGCAACTCTCTCGAAAACGGAGTGAACAGGCAGCGCCTCTTTCGTCGCCATCTTGGAGGTGAGGGTACGTACTCATCAAATATGGTAGGCAGCGTGGCAGGTTGGTGTGTAGGACAAGCTGCGGGCCAAGCTGCCTTGGGGACCTTGGATATGCCCTATGACAGGACGTTGGACAGTGGAGAGTGGGCGGGCTGAGCTAGAAGAACAGCGGGCGCACCTGAGGGTGGGGACTAGCCCTGGCAGCGGGGAGGCGGCGCGACAATAACAACCCAGATGGGCCAGGCTGCAGTGAAGAAAGATACCTCAGTTGGAGAAGGGCAATCGGAGTGGACCGGGAAGCGAGGAGCGAAGGAAGGGTGGGTGCACAGGTCCGGCCGAAGTTGAGAAATAGACGGTGGAGGTACGTCTTTGTGGAGCTGATGCTCCCGTGTACAACATCCTAAGGGTTCGATGGGGCAATCACTACATTGTAAGGATGACTCCAGGGTCAGGGTCGCTCGGGGGTTTAACCAGCGGCTACACCAAGCACCAGTGACTGGGCTACTTGTACGAGAAACGCAGAAGGGTTTGGCGCCACCATACATGACAATTAGACGTTGTCGGTTGCTAGAAGCTAGTTGTCGAATGTGCGTTTATTTCCTTCATCTTGCTCATGTCCAACTTGGCCCACAGTAGGCAATCTGAGCTAGTGTGTGAGTGCCCCTCCCTAGGTACTTCGAAGTTGACTAATGAGAGAATCCTTCGTCACCTACCTACCACACATCTACTGCTCAGCCTCGTTACGGGCTCAAGACAACCATGATATCATCCCATGAGAGACGTTGCAAAGAGGCACTCATTAACCACCCTGTACGTCCAACATGAATGGTTAAGCTGGTCCAGTCCCGACCATTGTAATCACCCCTTGATGAACGTGGCGGAAAGGATTTGACCGTTGGAGAACTAGTGATTGTAGCACTTGTGGTAACCAGGTACCAACCCAAAAAAAAAAAAAAAAAAAAAAAAGAAGAAGAAGAAAAAGGTGCTGTTGGATCCAGGTGTGGGAGGATGGCTCATTGTACACCTCTTTTTTTCCTTCTTTCTTTTCTTAATCCTTTTGATAAGTGGACAGTCGGTCCCCTGAAGTTGTCATGTTACACAAGGAGTGAATGGCAGGTGCACCCTGTCCCTTGTTCAATTGGGTTCCACAAACAAAGAGTGGAGGCATGCGGGGCTGCCAGTGTGAGTGCGAGGCACGTACCTGACCCCTGGGGAAAGGTAGCGGCCGCCGTGCCCACAGTACTACGTGGTAGGGCTACCTTTTTTCTTGCCTCTTACATATCGGCTGAGAAGCACATCTTCTGCGCTGCCGCTGCCACAGGATAAACGGCAAGACACTTCACGTTACCACCGGTTTCACCAAGAAGCAACGCTGTTCGAATTCCACTGGTCTTCGGTCCAGTCGGATGCACGATTTTCTTTTGGCGCTTCTACCTTTTCTTTCCCCTTGACTTCAGGTCGCCTTCGCCTAAGCCCAAGATTTGGACAGAGCAGGTTTTTACTCAATCACGGGCCGCCATTCGACCCAAATATTGGGCTGATGGCACGTTTGGGGCGGCCGATCTCCCCATCCCCTCCCCCTCATCAAGATTGGGGACAGAGCCAATTGTCGGGGGCACTTTAGGGTTACAGAACCCAAAGCGCCGCTCCTTCGGACAGCCCAGTCCGCACCATAGCCCCAGCTTCCCCAAAAGTTCTTCGCATTCGCCCCTACTAGTACTATACAGAATTTGTTGCCTCTCAAGTGGCTTGTTTGCCCTCTTGTACTGCAAGCCAATAGTCCAAGGTGAAGATTGACGTTTCCATGCCCCACGAACAGTATTCTTCTCGCTCACAGTGTTGAAGAACAAGCAAAAGCTGGATCCGTAAGAGAGCATGACTTCAACTTGCTGCAAGAGGAAATCGCCTATTACCGATCAAACGGGCTAGGCAGGGTCAAGATTGGCGTGCGGACCGTGACCAATCAAAAGAGACACTGCCACAAGGTCGACCCGATGTGACCTCCGATCAGTACCATGTATACATACCCGACGTTTACTGGGTCCGTGTATTAGTGCTAAGAGCGAATTCACCACCCAAGTCAACCCCCGGCTCCTTCAGTTGCTCCTGCCATGTTATGGAGTGTTCTTAGTCTTATCCATTCATGCTACTTTTGGGTAGGAAACAGTCCAGGGCACAATCCAGTTTATCTTTTACAACCAAAATGTGCTCAGAGCCAACCGGGTATGCTTGGACCAGCCGGTAACCTGGGACGGGACAAAGTGGGTCGTGAGAGTGGACGGGAAACCGGGCTGCGTTAGTCCTAAAGAAGAACATCGTAAGTTGAGCCAATCCTGTGTTTACAGTAAATGATTCTCAGGGCCAAGCTTTATTTTTCCCTCTCCACCCACCCCCCCCTTTTTTTTTGGGGGGGTGGGGGGAGGGGGTCTGGGCCATTGCACAGAGCACCTGTTCAAAGCACAGGGCAAGCGGGAGCCTGGATCCGCTGTCTAGAAAGTTCTGCTGAAGTACCAACTCCTCAATCTCAAGATGATAATGTCTCCTGCTTAAGGCCACACGTCTACATTAACATTTAATTCAAAGACACTATTTGAGAGCCTTCTCTTCTAGAAGTCATTCAATATCTCTTTGTCGTAGCTTTACCAACCTCCATGCAATCCTATACCAGTTGTAGCGCACTCTTGTGTCTCCGTACGGTCCCTACCCCCTGACAGGGCTACCGAACGTGTCTACCAATCTTGAGCTGGAGAATTCGATTGCCTGAAAGCCAAGTGGGGGAGGAGGGGTTCTCACAGTTGAAGCTTGTCAGTAAGGGTGTATGTGGCTCATTAATGGGGGCCAAATCACTCAGTACGCATTATGTTCTGTTTCGGAGCTGGCTGCAATTCACTCAATTTCTCTGCCTTGAGCTATCCAGTCAGTCTACCCAGCTCCTCTCAACCCTGCACATCATTGCAGGAAACAGCCTCTTATCCGCCTGCTTCCATCATTGAGTGCTTTGCACGGAAAGCTCATTCTAAGAAGGATAAAAGGAAGCAAGTTAAGCCTTGCGGATTCAAAGCGGAAGGAAGCTCCTCCAACCTAAGCCACATCATGCGGCGCTCCTGATCCCTCGGGTCGGGGACATTATGGTCCCATGTCAACGGAATTGAAGCGACAGTACGTACCGAATTCTCTCCTCGATGTCGTCAATGGCTTGCAGTGTAGTAGCAAAAGGTCCATCCAGGACACATACCACTCCCCACCCATGGAACCTACGAAAAGGCAAAACTCCTTGCCAGGGGTTGTACTCCTTGGCCCGCATTGTTTTAATAAGCATTGTTTCTAAGAGCTGAAGAGGCAAGTAGCTTCGCTTGGAAAACTTCCCTCTCTCAGGCCGAGTTAAGGGGGCAGCCGCAATAACCAGCGACGGATTCTGGACTGCTCGTTCAACAACCGCCAAATGTACACCTAATGGACTTAAATGAGCACGCCTATGTATTGTGGCGTCCCGGCATCGACCACATCAGCCAGTTGGAGAATTGGCAACAAGCACACCATGTCAAACTCCGCCGGGCTACTTGTTCCAACGCAGAATGAACGCGGCGAATTGAGGCACACCATGAGATGCCCTTGATCGCCAGCACCACCTTCAACGGTAAAGAATCCTTCGATGAAAGACAAGTATTGGGGGTTACGAGTGCCACGACGGCCATCAACCACTGGAGACGATATCATTTCCAGCCTATTGGCCTTCACTCCATTTTCTCATTAATCCTACCGCACCCTGCCCTACGGCTTGCCTTACATTGCCTACCCTGCGGCGCAGTACATAAGGTGTTTATACTTCGCAGGGTCTCTTCTCTCCTATTTGGGGAGCTCGTTCTCGGCCCCCAATGACGAAGCTTCCCACGTGCTTTGTAAGACGTCTATTTTTGTGTGGCCGATTAGCAAGACGCTGACCGTCGTTTGATTCGCTCCTTCCTTGCTCCTAACCCTCTTTCTCTTCGCCTGTACATAACTTACCTAGCTCGGAAGGAAGCACAAGTCGCACTGCTTTTCAGATGGCTCCATCTTATCCTTGCTGTGGAGAGTAAGTAGCCCGGCCATCCGACGCCTACTGTATATGAGCCCATGCTTGCGGATCTTTCATCGCTGCACGTCGAGAAACAGACAGCATGGGGGCTGTGTAGAATCTC